CAGTCGATCTATCTGTTTTGTACGTACGAGAAAATTAATCATAAGAGATACAACGCACGAACGTTAATTATAAAAGATACAACGCAAGAAAATTAATGATTGTTTAACAATGGACAAATAGTTGTCGCATTTCGCTTGACAACACCGTGAACCGTCTTCACGGTGACCACTCGTACTATATCATCTTGTCCTGGGTGTATGTTCACGATCCGGCCTAACGGCCATCTCATGCAAGGTTGATTCTTGTCGATGAGAATAACGATGGTGTTCTTTTCAATCTTTTGCTGGGGTTGTATCCATTTATGACGTTTCTGCAATTCTCGTAGATATTCAATGTGCCATCGTCGCCAGAAATCTTGTCGCACCTTCGTGATGTGTTTCCACGAAGACAATCGATTGGCTGGTGTCTTAGCATAATCTTCCTCTGGCAATGTCGTAATAGGTCTTCCAACTAAAAAATGTGCAGGTGTTAGAGCTGTCACGTCATTCGGATCTGATGAGATAGGACATAACGGGCGTGAATTTAAAATTGCTTCGATTTCGATCGCGAATGTAGTTAATTCTTCGTATGTGAAGAAAAGTTCGCCGACAACCCGTTTAAAATGGTGTTTGAAAGATTTGACGGCCGCTTCCCACAAACCTCCGAAATGAGGTGATAAAGGAGGATTAAAATGCCATGATATTCTATGATCTACTGCGAAATTATGGACCTTTGTTTTATATTCGTCCGATTCAATCAAGTCGTATAATTCCCTTAACTGGTTATTAGCCCCGACGAAGTTTGTTCCGTTATCCGAATAAATGTGAGTTGGAACAGCTCTTCGACTCACAAAACGCCTGAAAGCGGCTAAAAAGGCATCTGTAGTCAGATCGCTGACTAGTTCGATGTGTACAGCCTTGATGGTCATGCAGATGAAGATACACCCGTATGTTTTAACGCGACCTTTATTACGGTGCTTCTTTTCTTTCGCGTAAATTGGGCCGAAGAAATCTACTCCGACATGGGAGAATGCAGTGGCTTCCTGCACTCGCGAGCTTGGTAAATCTCCCRTTTTATACTGGATGCCGGACGCACGGAATCGGATGCAACGTACGCAATGACGTACGATTCTTCGCACCTGATTCTTGCCGTCGAGGAGCCAAAAACGTTGTCGAAGGGCATAGAGGGTAGTCTGTATATCGGCGTGAAAGTTTTGTTCATGGAGCTTTCGGATAATGAGATCGGTGACGTGGTGATGTGAGGGCAATAATATCGGACATTTCTCGTGGAAACTTAAATTTGCGTTTCGAAGTCGACCCCCCACTCGAATTAAACCTTCTTCGTCAAGGATCGGATTTAACGCGGCGAACTTTGTGCTCTTGACTCCCCCCGCTTCAGCCTTTCTCTTTCGGCGTGAAATTGTTCGTCTTGCACGATTTTTAAAACGCGCCGTTCCGTTTCTGTTATTTCTGCGGTAGACAATTCTCCCTTATATGAGTTAGTTTTAAGCCATCGTCGGCATCGTGCTAYAATTTTTAATAATCGCGTGTAACTAGAGAATCGCTGAAATATGCTTCCTGATTCAATTCGCGTCGTTAGTACCGATAGTCTCTTTACGTCCGGCAATTCGAGAATTTCCCTTTCAGTCGGGATTGGCCACTCGGCCTCCGGTCGCTCGAGCCAGGATGGTCCGTGAATCCATACCTCGTTCTTCAGAAAATCGCGTGGGAGTTGTCCCCTAGATAAAGCGTCCGCTGGGTTGTCTTCGGATCGCACATGTCGCCATGTGATACCTTCACAGATTTCTTGTATTTCGCGCACGCGATTTGCCGTGTATATTTTCAACGTACCGGAGTCTCTTTTCAGCCAACCTAATACAATCATCGAATCGGACCAGAACGTTATCTTGTCGGGTTTCAATCCGTCGACGGTCCGGACTTCTCTATATAATCGCGCGAGTGTCAATGCTCCGCATAATTCTAAACGTGGTATGGTGGTGTCCTTAAGAGGAGCCACGCGACTTTTAGCGCAAAGTAGACGCACGCGTGTATTACCGAATTTATCTCGCGATCTTACATATAAGTAGCCGCCGTAACCAGATTGACTCGCGTCGCAGAAACCGTGTAATTGCACGTCGATCGGGTCATTGAGTGTAACGCGTCTCTTGATCGTTAAATAATCGATTAATTTCAATTGTTCCGCGAATGTTATCCACGAAGTATGTAATGCGCTGGGCACAGATTCGTCCCAGTCAACGTGTGTTTTCCAGCAGTCTTCGATGAAGACCTTAGCTGTTAGAATGACGGGTCCTAACAGTCCGAGTGGATCGAAAATCCTTGCTACTTCGGATAGAATTCGTCGTTTGGTAATTCTTTCGCGAGTATCTACGGGCGCGACGGAATAGATTAGATAATCGCGGTGGGCGTTCCATGAAATACCGAGTGTCTTTAAAACATGATTTTCCCCTGAGCAGAGTTCGACGTCGACGTTCTTTATATCTAAATTTTCGAGCACCGGTCGGAAGTTAGACGCCCACTGTCGTATGTTAAACCCGCCTCGTTTCAATATTTCGATGGTTTGATCGCGTATCCTTCCGAGGGTTTCGATGTTATCCGCTCCAGTAATGAGATCATCAACGTATAGATCCCAGTTTAATATTTCGGCTCCGAGCGGATGATTTGCGCCTTCATCCTTCGCGAGTTGTTTTATGGTTCGTATGGCAAGAAAAGGTTCTGAGGCTATTCCGAATGTCACCGTATTGAGTTCGAAGGTGCGGATCTGTTCGTTATGTAACCAAAATATCCGTTGATACTGGCGATCGTCCGGATGAATCTATATTTGTCGATACATTTTCTCGATATCCGCCGTCAATACGTATCGATACGTTCGGAATCGTAACAAGTGCTCTACTAACGTGTCTTGGATTGTGGGTCCGACTAATAAAGTGTCGTTGAGAGAAAGTCTCTTATCGTTTTTCGCGGAGGCGTCGAATACGACCCGTACCTTTGTTGTCATACTGGCTGATTTAATGACCGCGTGGTGGGGAAGATAGCAACCTCCTATGGGTTCGTCTTCTACGATCGACATGTGTCCTAAATCGATGTATTCCTGCATAATCCGTTCATATTCCTTGCGGAGTTCGGTGTTCGCGTGTAATTTCTTCCAGAGATTATGGAACCGACGTAGGGCTATACTGCGTAAGTGACTGTAATCGTGTCCCTCTTCGCGGAAGGGTAGACGCACAATATATCGTCCCGATACGTCGCGTTTGGTATTTTGACTATAATGATTTTCGCATGCAATTTCGTGTACCGATTTCGATCGCGTTACATTCTCATCTTCTAATGACCAAAATTTTTCTAGCTGTTCTCTTAACTCGGTCGTCGCTAAGAACGCATGGTTTCCTGTGTGGCTGTCAGATTCAATTCCACCGGCGACCACCCAACCTAATCGCGTTTTCTGTAGTATCAAATCACCGCGTCCTGATGACAAAGAAAATTGTCCTATTGACATGAGTGCGAGCGTTGCTCCGGAACCTATCAAGATGTCGACCGGTCGTGGTAAATGGAACTGGGGATCTGCCAGTTTTCGACCGAACGGAATTTTAACGAATTCTCGCGGGAAGACTTCYCCGGGTACCTGATCCGCTATCTTCGGGACGAYGAAGAGYGAAAGGCTTCGGCGATATTTATTGTCTAGCGATTGAATGGTTATCTCAATAACACCTGYCGTTCGAGTTACGGTATCGTTGATAGCGTGAATGGGAATTGAATATGGTTTAATCGGCAAGCGTAATTCTCTCGCGACCTTTTCGGTGATGAAGTGYGCGGCGGCACACGTATCTAATAACGCCCGACATTCTCTGAAGGTCCCGTCTCCCCGTCGGACACGACACATAGCGCTCATAAGGAGTTGACTCGATGCGCCGCGCGCGTTACTATTAAAGATTGGTGTTAGACATACGGGGGTAGGTTTGGTTTGAGATGTTAACTCGATCTTCTCCTTCACGGGGGTTATTGTCTTCTGTCGATAATTGTTTATGTGTAATGACGTGTGATGGGTTTGGTTGCAGATCTGACAATGTGAACTTTTACATGGATCTCGGTGCTTCCGTAAGCAATTTTGACATAATCCGTAACGTTTAACTATYGCCAGTCTGTCTTGTYTCGTCAGGTCATGGTATCGGGAACATTCGTATAAAAGATGTTTGTCTCGTTTGCAAAGAATACACTTCTTTGAGGTCTGGGTAAGAAACGTGCGCTTTATATGCGTCTCCTGTCGGTTTCGTGGTCGTAAAGTCATCGTCTCAGTACGTCTATGTTTTGCGTGAGGCTCGTTTCC